ACACACACACACACACACACACACACACACACACACACACAGCTCTAATTTTCCTTTAAAACTGACCAGCTCACACATGCATTACTCCCAACCACCACAAGAGGGCGCTTTAGTTCTCAGATTTCAAACATGGCTTCGTTTATTTTCTGTGATTTTATCTTCAGGTGGGTTTTTCAGTCAGGTTTCTGTCAGTTTTAAAAACACACTGACTAATATAAGTTTTATTTTACTCATGCAAAATGTGCAGTGAAAACAAAGAATGTTCAGCTAAAAACTGACAGATGAGTATAATCCCACAGACGGTTGTGCAACACATCAGTGACGGTACACTCAGGTTTTTACAGTTTTATTGTGTGGATGTTTAAAACCATTCTCACCATGACATCATTTCTTCTTTCGTACATTTGTTGTATTTTTCTGCTATTTCAATATTTATTACATCAAATCGTTCAGCTCCTTCAAAGCGTTCAGGTCATGTCTTCTGGTATTTCAGGAATTCATACTTTTTTGAGATATTTACCACTGTCAGCCACATTTTTCTCATTAAAAAGGAGGTGCTTTCATCATCCTTAAAACCTTCAAATGTTCACAAATGTTTTAACCTTTTGTTCTGGTTCTGCTCTTTTTACTTATTTGTGCTAATTCCATTTTACGTTTGGCTTATATTTAACTGATTTTAGCCTTTTTTAAATTTTTTTTACACTTTTTGAGCTCTTTTTTTGAAATTTTCTGCTATTCCTATTTCAGCTTTTTTGTGCTTCTTTCAGCTTCTTGCTGTTATTTTAAGCTTTTCTGTGTTTTTAGCTCCTTTTTAGTTCATTTTAAATGATCTCTTTCTGTTTCTTTGTGCTAATTTCAGCTATTTCAGCTACTTTCTTTGGCTATTTTGATGCTAGCTCAGCTTGTTTAGGTATTCAGTAAATAAACATTCACACTGCATTTTTGCAGTTAATTATTTTTTACTTTGCTGTTTGTATTTTTGCACCTTTTATTGGCTAACCTGGACATTATTTTATCCAACCTGTTTTCTTTACGTCATTCTGTTGTTTTTATTTGGAACATTAGAAACACTAATCTTGTCGTTGTTCACAACATGCTGTATTTTCACTGCTTCACAGTTTGAGTCTCGCATTCGAGGTAAAGCTCAACTCTTCCACTCTGAACTCCACCTGAACCTGATGAATCCAATGAAAACTCTCATGTTTACATTTCTCTCAACAATTTTCCAAATCTAAGCAGCTTATCGTGTCAAACTTGAGCAGAAGTTCACGTAACGTTTGGATTAATTCTCTTAGAGCTGTTTGAATGGAGCTGGTGTGTGACTGTTTTCATGGTAACAGCTACACAGTGGTGGGCACCAGCCCACTAAAGCGCAAATCCGTTAATTGCGGACCTAAATATTTCATTTGTGCTTTAGCGGTTTAAAGATRCTCAACAGCTACATCTGGGACCCCCTCCCGCACACAGGTAGAGACCGCCACGGGTCGGACACAGAGCTGGAACCGTTGGTTTGTTCAAATGAACAGAGGCACAGAGGACGTTTTAAATGTTTGTTTTATGCTCATAAAGACCAGTGGTGGGCACCAGCCCGCTAAAGCGCAAATCCGCTAATTGCGAACCTAAATATTTCATTTGTGCTTTAGCAGTTTTAGTGATTATTATAATTCAAAAGTGGATTTGCACTTTCTAAAATTAAAATGCAATACTGCTAATAACTAATTATCTACCAGTCATCATTATCTTGAACAGCAGAAGGTATGGCTGTCAATGAATCACAACACGTGATCTATCCAACAGCACCCCTCCCAGATAAACACACTTATTGTGAAGGTATACATCCTTGCTGACTGTTGCTTTGGGTCAGGGTTCTGATTTCCCACAATGCTTTGTGTCTGCTTACGTAGCACGAAGGCAATAGTAAAAAACAATAAACGTTTGTAATCCATACTAAAATTTTGTATGTATTGATTTATTTTACTTTGCAATCGGAGCTCCTTTTTTAAAACAAAAATAAAGTTTAAACACTGGAGCTCAATACTTGACGTAATTGGTCGAAGCGACGGGGTTAGACACGCAGAAATGATTTAAAGATGTTACGCTGGTGAAGACTGACATCTAGTGGTCAACTGGAGCAACTACATGGAAAACTTTAAAATCCAAGTAGGGCTGCCACAAACGATTATTTTTATAATCGATTAATCACCGATTATTTTTTCGATTAGTCGACTAATCGAAATCGAAGTTATCGAAGTTAATTTAATATAAAACATACAGCTTATCGCGCCAGAATGCAGCTGCTATTATATAACCATCGTCAGAATTTAGCTATATGCTAACTAAAAATAATTGCTGTGGAAGGCAAGTTCTGCTCTGCAGTTATTACACAGGTTTCTCTTTCATTTTCTTAAAATGATCCCACACTTTTGAGCTCTGTTGTCAGGTAGCTATGATACCAGAGCCTGTCTGTATAATGTCTTGTGACGTCCACGGCCTACCCCAGTTACCACTACTGTGCATGTGTGTCAAGGACAGAAAGGCAGATGTGGCAGTGGAAGGTGTCAAAGCAGTTTGGAGAGAAAAACAAAGTAAAGAACAAAAAAAAAAAACCCAAAAAATGATTAATCGATTATTAAATTAGTCATCGATTATTTRAATAATCGATTAGTCGTCGGTTAATCGACTAATCGTGGCAGCCCTAAATCCAAGCTATTATTTTGAAGGGAAGATAGTTTCCTGTTTTCGTTTCCCGTCACAAATCAAATCCGTCATGTACCCAGAATGCATCGCTTCAGTTTTCCAATAAACAGTTTTAAAATTACTTTATTGATGCTTCTTTAATGAAAAATCTACAGCAAACAAAAGAAAAAGACAAAGAAGCAGCCGAACTAGCAATCCTCAACAACTTTTTAATTTTTACACCAGGAGCTAAAGGTCTGTTTCAGGAACTCACATCCCCAGCAATCGGCGATTGTAGAATTAAGTTGTAAAAGAGTTCATACACCACTAGTTGACAGTGTTGTACATATATTGTACATGAATTGTTGCCAGCTAGTACGTGTCAAATTGAACTTGCGTTTTAAAATTAGCTTCCACTAGTTTTTCTATGGCATAAGCGCTTTAGAAATTGCGGAGCTAAATTTTGGATTAGCACTGCCCACCACTGCAGCTACAGGAAGTAGCGTACCTGTTGTTTAAGAGGGAAATGAAGCTTTAAGTGTTTATCTACTGCGAGCTGTAGGGATGTTTGTTCCTGAATTTAGTTTGATCGCAAGCAGTTAAAAATGAACTGGTCACGGCAGCTCGGACCGAGCAGACGACAGGTGGAGGTGGAGCTCACTGACCCCAGGCTTCTGTCTTCACATGAGAGAGATTTCTGTGAACGCACCTGAACCCTGAAGTGAGTCAGCGGGTCAGGAACAAACAGCTGATCCTCGGCAGAGGAGCTTTAAGAACCAAAACAAAAGCAGCTGTGTGTGTTTGTGTCAAAGGTGAGTCACGCAGTCTGTGATCCGTCGCTGCTCCGTGTGTTTCCTGTCCGATAAAACAGCTTCATTTATGTCACTGAACGTACAAACACATCTGTTTTTCAGTGAATTTCTCTAATGAAAATACAGAAATATGACATGAAAAGGCTCCAACTGTGACGTTAAGTAGAAAAAGTCTTAAAGGGAACCCGACTAGTTGTAACAGACTTTATAAACATTTAACTTACCATTAGTTATATACAGTTATAGCCATATTATTAACTCCACAAAGCATACTGGGTAAAAAACGTGGGTAACGTCTACAAGATGTTCTGAGCACTTATTTACTTTAAAGGTGAAACTTAGATAGGAGTGAGCAGAAATAACTCAGCCTGTAACTTAAATTATGACGAAGGACAACAGAGCTGCTTCATGGAAGAAGAACCTCAACCTAGCTTTTTAGCTTTCGCGTTAGGGCCAGAGCTAATCCACATATATTTATATGGTGAGAAAGCATTAGCATCCAAGCTAATACATATATTTATATGGAGATATAGCATTAGCATCCAAGCTAATACACATTTATTTACATATGGCGATTTAGCAATATGGCGATATAGCGTTACCGTCTAAGGTAATATACACATATTTATATGGTGAGATAGCATTAGCATCCAAGCTAATGCACATATATTTATATGGCGATATAGCATTAGCGTCTAAGCTAATACACATATATTCATATGGCGATATAGCAATATGGCGATATAGCGTTACCGTCTAAGGTAATTTACACATATTTATATGGTGAGATAGCATTAGTATCCAAGCTAATACACATATACAGTATTTATATGGCGATATAGCGTTAGCGGTCAAGCTAATACACATATATTTATATATGGCAATATAGCATTAGCGTCCAAGCTAATACACATATATTTATATGGCGTTATAGCATTAGCATCCAAGCTAGTATATATTTATTTACATGGTGAGATAGCATTAGTATCCAAGCTAATACACATTTATTTATATGGTGATATAGCATTAGCATCCAAGCTAATACACATATATTTATATGGCGATATAGCGTTAGCGGTCAAGCTAATACATGCATATTTATATATGGC